TCTAGCTCTCTCTCTCTCTCTCTCTCTCTCTCTCTCTCTCTCTCTCTCTCTCTCTCTCTCTCTCTCTCTCAGTAACACACATATACACATACATGCACACACACACACACTGTGTGTATATGTTTGCTCATCGTACTTGCCCCCTTTTCTACCTCACCCAATACCTTCCTTATTTCTCCAATCCATTCTGCTGCTGCTGCTACCACGGCTACTGTCGCTGCTACTATTCTTTACCCTAGCACTACTACTACTACTACTACTACTACTACTACTACTACTACTACTACTACTACTACTACTACTACTACTACTACTACTACTACTAATATTACAACTACTACTAATACTACTTTCTGTTTTTCTCCAGTGTAGGAAATGCCCAGGCAGATAGCGAAGGAGATTTCCTAATAAATCAATCAAACACACACACACACACACACACGCACATACGCGAACACCCGCATCCCGGCTATTTGCTGTCAACATAATGCTTTGGTGGTTCTGAAATCACTGGGAGTGAAGAGAAAACTAACCCATCGTTGCTGAAGTGTATCGGCTGGTCATTGTTAGACTTGGTGACCTAGATCTGTGGTTTGTAGTCGACTGTTGTACTTGGTCAGCCGTGCTCCGTGCTGTTAAGATATCCCATATTCCCATTGCCAGCGTTGAACTAGGTCCATGCTAAGTCCACAGCTAAAGGCGGCGTTTGTAGCAGGAATTTCAAATCGGAGCTGTCAAGTTACAAGTTAACAAATAACGGTTTGTATGCTTGGTTTGTGCTTGTATCCTTCCCTCCTATTGCATCGGTTTATTGTTCCGTATACTTATTTGTAATGCTGGTATTTAAGTATGTATATAAATGTATAGACTTTTGGGTTAGTTGTGTATTAGTAGAGTTAGCTGACACTGACATGGAGTTTACCTACGTAGCTATTTTTGTGAAGTTGTTTTTATCTCTTTACTATTCCATTCTGGTGCCAGATTCTGTTACTGTATCTTCTTAATGTTCCCCGACTGTAAACTCCTATGAAATTGTTGTTTCTTCGTCCACGTCTGGGGTTTGTTCTTGTTCCAGCACTCAAGTTTTGGAGCACATGCGTTTTACAGATAGTGCACACAAAAAAAATGCAACTGAAGAATCCTTTATCTGACAACAATACAGACCCCCCCCCCCCCCCACCCTAATGTCACAGCTTCACAACTGTTCAAGATCACTCTTCCTATCTGATATTGTTTGCACCAAATTAAATATATATCAAATATCAAGAAAAATGTTGATTTACTGTTTGACATCATCATCATGTGGCTGTAGATATGTTGCCCCCCCCCCCCCCCCCCAAAAGGCAACAGAAAAATCTTTTATCTGACAGCAAATATAGAAAACACCTTGATGGTGGCAGGAAATGGTGAATGGAAAAATGGATGTATGCTCCGGTTGTCTGAAATAGACGGCGTTTTCGCAATACTCATGTGAAGCAACAGTACAAGAAACCCTCTTACTTCATTCGGGGTTGTGTGTTTCCAGTTCTTGGCAAAACAGTTGTCTGGTTTTGCACCAATCTTTGCCTCAGCATAACGGTTTGTTTCTTTAGCAAACACAGCAAGAATTTCTTTACTGAAGAAAATATCCAGTAGTTCATTTGTTCCTTCTGGCACAAATAAACTAGAAGTGCCAGTAAATGGGTGTACTTTAAGAAAGCCTTCCAAATCACAGTGCCAACAATCAACCATTGGGGGGCATGCCAAATCTTCCCCCGGACACCTCAGATGATAATGATTCTGAATCAAAATCGGCAATGATATCTCAGTCATGTGCAGACTCAGGCACAAAATCTTTATAATCTGTGAGCTTTGACTGAATACTTTCACAAGAACTATAAGTATCATAAACTGCCGCACTAGTGCTTGCAACCGACAACACTGTCTTTGTCAGACTTGACTTCAAAGCGTCATTCTGACGTTTCACAATCGACGATGTGTTGAATGGCACTTCGTTGAATTTATCATAGGCATAGCCATCAAACTGTTCAAAAATGTCTACAAATTCACTTTTTGATGCAAAATCAAGAAAATCACATGCATCATTAGAAAAATTATAAGAAATGTGACCACCACGATGGTTCCGAGAATTTGACGCCATGGTGAATTTTTCGTCAATCTCTCACTTGCTTTTTTCTTATTTGAAGCCACACGCTGGCTTTTGCCAGGGGCCGCAATATAGGCAGGCCATAAATATGGCCAATTGTCTGAACGCGGTTTCTGGGACCTCTCCACGGCGATCCTCATCCACGTGGTGGCCCTTTGTGTCATCGGGTGTTTATCGCTTGTGTGATGTCCTAGTGGGGTAGAAAGTCAGTCAGTCAGTCAATCTCTCACCGATATGGAAGCTAACTAAAAAAAAATTCGTCAACTATTTACTGTAAGCAAAACGAAGTTATTTCCCTTAATTAATTATTCAAAAGTGAATAAGCTGAAGCTTTCAACTAAATTCATCATAAAAATCGCAATTTTAAAATGACTGCGAGCGTCCAGGGCTAGAATCGCAAAGCGTGCGACCTTGGTAGCAGGAAATAAACGTCGCCTCGTCGCATAACGTGCAACGCTGGTAGTTAGTGGGTAAAGAACAAAATAAATCTTTCAACTGTTAATCCCAGCCAACTGCTGCTTCAGCACGTTCTACCACAAAGTCATGGTATTTTAGAGTACCAACTTCGGGCCTTAAGAGGTTAAAATAATGCAGTAAGATACAAAAGATGTCAAGTGACAGTATGAATACAATCAAATAATGCAACAGATGCTAACAGCTAGCGTGTGGTGAGTTGACTGGCAAACAATGAGTTGAACTGTTTTGAAAAAAGAAGTTCAAAACCTCATAGTAGAAGATAGCAGAGGAAAAATTAAGGATCATCAACATCAAATTTACAGCTAGGCTGCTATGTGTGAGTCTGTCGGTCCAATGCATCCGATTGCAATAAACCTTTGAATAGTAGCCTTTTAGGTATATGTACTTGGCATTGGCGGCGTCCGTGGCTAAGGCGTTACGAGTCCGACTCGTAAGCCAGCATACCGCGATCGAAACCCACTGCAGGCTGCGTGGATTTTTATCGTGGTATGGGACGTCGCAGGTCGACCCAGCCTAAAATGGGTACCAGGATGGGCTGTCCTGGGAAAGTAAAGACAGCCGGCGTAATGCTGACCACATTACCCACAGAGTGCTGATGGTCTGTAAAAATATGGGACGCTCTGCCCAATATGCCCGATGCGCCGAATGGCGTGAAAAGGGATCTTTACTTTACTTTTTTTACTTTACTTACTTGGCATAGGAGCCAGCAGTGGGTTTCGATTGCGGTACGTTGAAATTACGACTCGCAACGCCTAAGCCACGGACACCACACGCAGTAACGACACACCATCTTTCCGAGCCCCATAGACGTTAAAAAAAAAAAGGGGGGGGGGGGGAATAGACATAGTGCCTCCCCAAACAAGCATTCAATAAGAATCGACTACATTGTGTGCTTCCTTCGAACTCGGAGTGCATCTCCCTGAGAAGCAAAGAAAAGAAACAACAGTCTGGATACAAATAATCCAGATCTGAAGAACGAATGTGCACGCAACACTTAGGTTCTGGAACAAGAGTAAAGTCCAGAGGTAGATGAACCGCTTGAACTTTCCCTCAAAGTTTCAGTTCAGTTTACACCCGTGAATGCAAAGGAAAAGAAGCAGAAGAATAGTTGTGACCTGGAAAATTTTTACTTTTGTTTGCAAGAAAATCGGGTGGTAGCCCTGGTTTGGCAGACTTGAATATATCGCCAGCTATCAAAGGTCAAAGATAGTTCAATAACGCATTTTGACTATTGGCAGTATTCTAGGTCAGGGCTATTCAATTAACGGCCTGCGGACAAATCTGGCTTGTGAAGGACTAGCAGGTGGCCCACGGATAATTGCCAGTTGTATTAATGATCTTTCTGTGCTGCCAGTCGGGACTCTGCCCTGTGATTGTGGTTTACAATTAGGCTGCAATGTCTGCTCATTTCGGCCCAAAATATTTCATTTCAGCTCTAGAGACTATTTTCTTTCTACGAAGTGGGGAAATTGAAGGGAAAATTGTGCAAATTGTAGTCGAAATTTATAAAAATGGTTGTTAAACAGTTTAGTACAATCAAAACTAGAGTACAGTGCTTTCAGTGGTAACATGGTAGATCACAGGAAGTCTGTCATACAGGCTAGGTGACCAGCCCAACACAGCTGATAATTCTTCAGTAACATGTGGAGACATAAAGTTCAAAGTTGCTGTCACCTATTGACAACTTTAGAAACTGCCAACTAATTTTCCTGCCCTCCCATAACCATTTGTGACTTATTTATTGACTTCCCCTGTAGTAAGTAAAGTTGAGTAAAGGACCTTTTAGTACTCACCACAGAGTGTATATCATAATATGCAAAGTAGGGTAAAGAACCCTTTTCCACACCTTTAGGTGAATTGGGCATATAGGGCTAGACATATATTTTATAGACCAAGCGGCACTTGGTGGGTAATGTGGTGAACACATGGGACCCAAGGCTGGGTCAACCTGCGAGCTAAGATCCGCAGGCAAGGATCTAGCTGCTACAGTTCAACAACTCCCATATATCATAGCAGCTTCGGAAAAATCATGCCTAGAACAGTACTGGTACTGACCCAAAAAAATACCTGCCTAGATGTCTTGCTGCCAGGTTGAACCAGCCTGAAATGAGTATCAAATAAAGTCCTGGGAAGTAAAGGTGGCTGGCGTTGACCACATCAGCCACAGAGTGCTGACTGGTCTAACAAATATAGGTCTAACATAATAGGTCAGATTTGTGTCAATGAGTGGAAAAGGGTCCTCCTGTTCTTTACAAGTCTTGCAGGGCTGACTGCAACTGTTGACCAGTCAGTTAGAAACAGTTTTGCCCTTCCTGCTTTACAAGAAATCTCAATGTAATTAATGATACATGCCCTTCTTTTTTTATTTTACAGCACAATGGCCAACTCAAACTTGAAACTCTATCACTTTGATGAGAAAGGAAGAGCAGAAGTACTTCGTCTCATTTTAACTTTGGCTGGAAAATCATTTGAAGACATCAGGATGACACGCCAGGAGTGGCTTGAAGTGAAACCCACAATGCCGTTTGGTCAAGTCCCAGTGCTTGAAGTTGATGGCCACAAATTTTGTCAAGGTGTGGCCATTGCTAATTATTTAGCAGATGAATTTGGCTTTTATGGAGAAACAACCCTGGACAGACTACGTATTGATATGATTAGCCAGCTGGTTTATGATTTCAGATTCAATGCTGCCCAATATTACTTCAGCAACAATGGTATAACCAACCCAGCCATTGGTGATACAATTCGTGAAGAGCATGTCCCGAAGTACCTCAGCTTTCTGGAGCAGCTGCTGAAAGAAAATGTTGGCAAGTTTATGGTTGGTGACAGTATCACCCTGGCAGACCTGGTTGTTTTTGATATGGTTACTGGGTTTTTGGGGGAGTTCGTTGAGCCAAAGTCAGCTGAATATCCTATTTTAAAGGACCTTGTTGATAGAGTTGGTAACCATGAGAAAATTAAACAGTATTTAGCTGAAAAATATCCCTAAGGTTTGCAGTGTGATTATGGCATTTCTTTGTCAGCAGTCTTGCAGTAATTTTAAATAGTTCCCTGCTTTATATTTCATATCTTCTAGGCAGTTGAAATGGTGAATTTGCAGCCATTATTGGTAAGAAAATTACTTCACTTAGTTAAACTTGCTAGTTACTTTATTAGATTTTAGAGGTAGTTTGCTGAACCAAAGACAACTGACTATTCTATTTTAAAGGATCGCATAGACACAACAATTATCTGCTGCAAAATATTCCTATGAGTTGCAGTGCATCTTTTTCATTAACTCAACAATTACTCATAAAGTCAGCAACAACAACAAACATTTTGTTTGCTTCATATTTAATAATATATATAAATAATACACTCCAGCTACGATGAGTTTGCAGCCATTATTTTAAAGAAGACTTTTGTGCAGTAGGGCCTGCTTGTCACATGACAGGAATATGAGGGGAATTATTCATATCAGTCAAGGAATGTATAAAAACCAGTCATCATATCTTAATCCATAAAAATTCATGTTAATGTATTATTGCCTGTCTGCAGAAACTGCAGTTTGCAGACATTATTTTTAAAAGATTGTTGTGCAGCACAGCCTGCTTGTTGTATAACAAAAACATGAATGAGTGTGAATTATTCATATCAGTCAAGGAATGTATCATGACCAGTTCATCGTCACATTATATATAATCCATAAAAATTTAGATAAATTTGTTATCTTTTGTCTGTCCAGAAATTTATATCCATAAACATTCTCTGTCATTTTGCAGCTTACCATATTTACTCCATACTCACTTGTCCTGTTACATATCAACACTGTGACTGTATGTTCTTTATTTTTGTCTGTAGTTAATTGGTTATTTGTAACAGCAGTAACCACTTTCATGCTTTACTTTGTGTAATGTTGGTATTGATGTAATGTTTTTATCAGTTATACAGTTACAGAGAAAATTTATAAATATACTGTTTGTCAACAATAAAAATGTATTAAAACTCAGTAACTGTTTTCTGGATATTATGAAAGAACCAAAGCTTCTCTAATCTCAATATTTATGCTATTTTTTGGACATATATATATATATAGCAGACTTGATAAGGAGAACTCATCGGGGACCAAAGAAATGGTTTCCTTTATCAGAGATTTCTCTTATCCAGATAGGAATTCAAGCAGGAAAAATAGCCAGTAATATACAAACTGTTCTTCAAAACAGAAATTTGCTACATCTAAGATTGCCTTGAGCAGTCTGCACTGTAATACAGTAGTCATTGAAAAACAAACAATAATGTACCTACATGTTCTTCTTTGTTCGTAATAAATGCATAACACATCACTCACTGGTAAGCATACCTGGGCGTTAGTGTAGTCAATAGGAGACTGGCTTTCAAATCCAGCTGTGACTCGCTGCAGCCCATGGCCAGTGTTCGAAACCACAGCCTCTAGGAAATGGGTACCAGAGTAGACACTCTGGGTTAAATGGAGGAACGTCGCTGTAGCTATGGAGTTACGTACGGACGGCGACACAGGCAAACAGTTTCTTATCAGCTGTCCATACTGGTTGCAGAGCACTTATGGTTTATAACCATGTGCAATGACGCTGGTTCACATCTACCGACTTTACTTTTACCTTTAGTGATATTTTCGACAGTAATAAGCATCGCCAATTTCCATTCCCTCCGTTCAGCTTTGTCAGATTGTATGTTATTTAGTCATTCTTTTCATCTGCTTGACTAGTCAGCCCCTTTTTATATTACTGTCAATTTACTTGTTCTTTGTCTAATTGATGTTATCATTTTGATACATTTAAAAAAATAATGTTAGCCTTCACATCACTTGTTTTAAAAAATGTTTATTTTGGAGGAATTCTTCTAGTTACATAGAAGTGATGCTTTTTTTTTTAAGTGAAGAACTTTTTAGAAGTATGAACTGATGCAGAAATATACAGCTCTGATATATCTTGTTTAATCAGTTGCAGAATGGTTCAAACATGTGTCAAGACTACTAAAAATACTGCACCACAGATAGCCTTGAGACTTAGACTGAAAGCAGAGCTAGTAGTCGCCCATGTAAGGATAAACAGAATATGCCTCTTCAAAACCTGACCCTGAAAGACAGAACAGGAACTCGAGAAAAGGCGTATAATGTAAATTAGCTCAAACAATTTAGGCCAAATTTTATCAAGTCAAATCCATCAACCATGTGCCATCTCCCCAATGAAGGTTTACTACAGCCAAGTACTTCAGTTTCTGAAACATGTTGCTGTTTATGAGCCAGTCTTCTTCAGCACTTTGATCTTGAAGAATGTTAGTATTGTTCCTTCTCTTGATTCATGATATTCTAAGAAATGTACTTTAACTTTTTGAGTCCCAAGGAATGCATCAGACGTTCATAGGTTCCTGCCTAGAAGCCCAATTAACGCATGATGCACTGATTTTACATCTATCTTTACTACCCCTTGGGCCTGTGATGCTAAACTCTCTGGGACTCAAAGAGTTCATGTTACAGTTACAAATCCTTGATATTTAGTAGGTGAAATGGTCCATGACTCACATCTATATGCTGCCATAAGAAAAATTTATTTTCTTAGAATTGATACTGTGTATGTGCAAATACGTGCATGTAGACACATATGTATTTCACATTGTATTCACATAGTTTGTGTCTGTATCAACACAAGAAGAAGACTTGTCTACAAAATTTAATTTCATGAAATAATACATGACATCACAATACAGAAACTACACTGTTTAAATCTGTCAGCTCTGTATATCTTGTTTTATAATCAAAACTTCTAACTGCTTCTGTTTGCCTTTTTTTAAAATTGCCTACCAGTCTGCCGGCAAGCCAGCAGGTTTGTGTCATCTCTTTCACAGGTTACTATTCTTTCATCCGTCTACCAAGAGAGACTACGTTGCAAAGTGGTGGGGGTTGGGGTGGGAAAAGAAATCAACCACTTTATTGTCAAACACTGACAGTGGAAATTTGAATGTCAGGAGAAGAAGGCATTGGAAATTTGAATATCAGGAGAAGTCTATCTTCTACTTCAGTGTATAGAGTACCCTCTTTCCCCAGTACCATTCCCCTCTGGGAATGGAATTGAAATCAGCTGAAAATACAATAACCAAAAAAGGGAAACACAGTATAATGTATAGAATCAGTCTGGTTACATGACAAAATGTTTCTACAAAGATGTGAAATTCTAGAACTGGTCTTACAGGTTCTACCTATTTCAGAGATAGAAGATGGAAAGAAGTGCTCTGCAATGTAGTCCCTGAAAGGTGGTACTAAAATACCTTCTGAATTTGCTCTTTAAAGTGCAGCTGGCATGATGCCTTGAGGTTCACAGCTTGGATATAATATCTGTGCCCTTGAACTGTTCACATCAAATTTGAGTAAACCCCTAATTAGTCGCCTTTCATAACATGCACATTAGGGAGGCAGTGGGTTTACAAAATCCTACAATGGCCCCATAAAGAACACATGGAAGACTAAAATACTAACTTCCTTTACATAGGTCGGCGTCTGTGGTTTAGGCGTTGCGAAAGCACTTAGTAGGGTGCCTGGGTGCCGGGTTAAATCCCAGCTGGTTTCGACAGTTGTATCGAGAAGCTGACCGCCCAGAAAGCAATGGCAAACTATTGGACGTTAATGTGCCTAGAAAAACCATAACAGTCAAAAAATACTGGGGCTGGTTCTTCAATGACCTACAACTAACTTTTAACCCTTTAAATAGATGCCAACCTCCTTCCAGGGCTCAGGTGAAAAAACATCAAAACTTCAATCTTGCACAGACTTCACAACCAGCAAACGAACCCCTACCATCAACCCCGCAGGTGTCTGTCTGTCTGTCTGTCTGGGTTTTAGGGCTCCATTTTTTGGGAGGAAAAAAAGATTAGACCAACTGCCCCTTCAAAAGCATGTCATAACAGACAACCAATTAGGGGAGTTTCCTGCAAAGTTCTGCCTGCAAGGCAAGGAACCAACAGTCTGCATACAAATTAGCCAGATCTGTAAAATGGATGTGCAGGTAAAACTCAAGTTCTGGAACAAAGACAAAGTCCTGAAGTGCACAAACCACCAGAACTTTCTGTGTGCACAAACCACCAGAACTTGCTGTGTGCACAAACCACCATTTTTTTGCATTCGCTGGGTGAAAGGATTAAAGAAAGTAATTAATACCTGACCAAAAGCACATAACATGGAATCTTAGAATAATGTACTATCTACACAACATACTTCTTACAGCCCATGCTATATGGTACTGGTAATCATGTCATTCCACAGTCTTTTGTCTCTTATTTGTATGCACACTCTAGGTTCCTTGTCTCTAGGGCAGATGCACTCCGACTTCAAAGGATGCCCCAAATTATTCTATCCCTACGACATGCTTGCTGGGAAGGTGGTGGGTATATTCTTGTTTTCCCCAATGAGGCCCTGCTTTAGGGGGAGACAATACTCAATCCCTGAAACATGACCAAAGTCCAGACCAAGTAGAACTTTTAACTGAAGTTCACAAACCGTAAACGCAGAAAATGTTAATTTTTTTGCTTATCTGAAGGTGGTATGGATACAACCAAGTCAAATTCAAAATTCAGTGTTAGACAACACAGATTATACAGGTGTCCCATAAGTGTCCATACACAGAACAAACATTTTTTAATGAAGTCAATTTTTATTTATATTAGAACATGTACGAGCACAGCTGGAATGTTGCTTGTAATGGCACTGGTGATTTTTATTGTTACTATGTTTAGAAACTTATGTGACACTCCGTATAAAGCTAAGGCACATATAAGATTCACTCACATTCAGAAACCGGATAACATATTAAATTTTGTTATAATAGTTTATCAAAACAGGGAACATATCATCATCATGTTCCTTGCCAGATGACATAGGCAATCAGATCTCTCTAAACCTTATTTCTTGGTATTCTGGGTCACCCCTATTGATATTGGTCCACTCAAGTGTCACAGCTCATTCAGCATTAGTCTTCTTTC